GCACTTCTCATTGGTCAGTGCCGTCAGGTGACCGCGTTGACCAAGGAGTGCTTGCAATTTGCGAGCGAAATTCAGAATACATGGAACAGGTACAGATAGTACACCCGTACTGGTGGACGAGAAGGACCATTCGCCGAAAGGTAAGTATAGTGGGAGGGAGATTTGTGCGGGTAATTCCATTTTTCCAAATTACTTGGGAAAGTGAATATAGCGCTCCGTCCCTGCTCTCAGCGTTCCGCGCTCCGTCCCTGCTCTCAGCGTTCCGCGCTCCGTCCCTGCTCTCAGCGCTCCACGCTCCGTCCCTGCTCTCAGCGCTCCACGCTCCGTCCCTGCTCTCAGCGCTCCACGCTCCGTCCCTGCTCTCAGCGCTCCACGCTCCGTCCCTGCTCTCAGCGCTCCACGCTCCGTCCCTGCTCTCAGCGCTCCACGCTCCGTCCCTGCTCTCAGCGCTCCACGCTCCGTCCCTGCTCTCAGCGCTCCACGCTCCGTCCCTGCTCTCAGCGCTCCACGCTCCGTCCCTGCTCTCAGCGCTCATTTTTAAGAAAAGAAAACCAGCCCTGCTACTTGTCCGTAGCAGGGCTAAAACAGTGAAAAAAAACACTTGCCCGGCGCCCGGAACTACATGTCCCGGGCGATATGAATTTCACACCCCTGGGGTGGGTATGTGGGCAGGATATTAGGGAGGAGTGGTGGTGCTATGAGGGAGTAGTGAAAAAAAGTGTACTAGTTTCTGAGCCTAATGCTTCTCCTTGTGTGACTACAATGGGAGGTAATGGGAAGTCAGAATTAAATGTCAACATAGGCATACAGGAAATGTACTGTGTGAATGGGGTTCTCAGCATCTATTCAAAGTATTAATGGGGACCAAACGGTCATAGAAATGTAAAGCTCCAGGATTTTCAAAAGTTAACTCTTGCAGTGAGACTATCCCCTACACTGTAAGGGTTAACTGTTTGTTTAAATCTAGGGAATGGAGTAAAGAAGATACTCACTCAGTGACCACACTCCTCTCTCCCCCTCTGGCACCCTCACGTCTAATGCAAGTGAATGGGCCTTGCTTAGACATAAAGACATCAGTAGGGCTTGGACCACCGGAGACGGGTATAAAGTGAACAGTTAACCCTTGCAGTGCAGGGGGTAGCCCAACTGCAAGGGTTGACTTCTGAAAATCCTGGAGTTCCTCTTTAAAATGGCACGCTGAAGCAAATGTTTTTTTTATGACTTTAAAGAGACTTTACTGTATTTCATAAAACCTTTTTTCAGATTCTTTTGTCACTGATTGTGTGTATTTATATGTTGGATTGCAGTTATTACTCTTGATGAGTGACTGATCAAGTAATGGTATGAGTGATATATTATAGGAGTCTTGTTTTTTCATTACTGAGGACAGACTGATAGACTTGCATTGAGAGAGAGAAAAACAATGAAATACTGTATAGTCACTGTACAGAAAGGCAAACTCCCCTGGGGGGGTTAGAAGACCCGTCATCGGACTCAAGAAGAGAGCAGCAGTGACCGGTCATCAGTACTAGAAACCCCTGCTAGTTAGTGCTGTGGCTCTGATCTTTGAGAAGACTGTATTTAGGGAAGTCTGTTATTTAGCAAGATGATTAAATATTTTGCTATGGTAAGTGATCCTTTTTGTATGGGAAGATTATTAACGCTGACTGGAGTTCAGCTTTATCTTCAAGTAATCTCAATATTTGTTGCTGGGGAACGGAACTCTGGAAGCTGTACCTCCTCAAAAGAGGACAAAGAACTAGTCACCAGTGTTGTCTGTGTTCTCCCTGCAGGTGATGTTTTCCCGTTACTGACTGAATATTCCTTGTTTGCACTGTGTGGATGCAGCCATCTTGGTAGAGGCAGGGCTTTGCTTACTCATGTCAGACCCTCCAGGAAGGAGAACAGCGAGCAGCAGTAACATCACCAAATTTCTTGAGACTAGTAGTAAGGCGGCAGGGCCTTACATCAGACCCTGCAGATATACATCGGTGAGGCTGCCATCAAGTGCGCTGCTATTTTTTAGGAGGAATTTTAGACAATATTAACGTTTTTTATGGTACTGCTTAGGGCAGGGGTGTGATGGACCGTCTGGTACCCCGATTGTTGTCGTGAACGGGACCAACTGATCGGAAGCCGATTAATCGATTATTGAAAAAGTTGACAACTTTTTCAATAATAGATTATGTCGATTAGTTGTTGCAGCCCTAGAAACCAAGAACTGACTTTATTGAAAACCAGCACAGTATTTATACAGCTCTGGAAGTCTAAAAACATAACACAATCAAACATGAAAAGCATACAAACAGACATCCCCTCCCCGCTGCCTTAATGAATGAATAGGGAGAGAGGAGACACGTGAGATGGGATTATCTCCTTAGTGTATCATAGGGTGATCTACTCATCTAGACCCAGAGTCAGCTACGCCTAGAGTCCGCTATCTTAATCCCATCATCAACACAATAGAACAAAGGGGCAAATAAGCTGTAACACATTCAGTGGGAGTCTCAGTGCAGAGTTAACCCTTTTTGTGTTGCTGGATTCACACCCTGCACCTTTTAATAGGCAATGGGAAAGATGTGGCATATAAACTCCACACATAAGTTTAGGGTTATTAGTTCCAAGGGCTATACGTACATAGTAATCCTCGGGGTTCCAGGAACAGTCCCTCAAGTCTTAGTTCCATGTAACCCCAAGAGGTTCGAGGGGGGGTCTCCATATTCCTAGGTCCATAGTAGGAAGGAGGCTAGCCCTCAGGCTCCTCCAGCAGCCCCAGTGATGGTTCAGTCCGTCACAAGGGGTACACAAATTTTTTTGGGATTCAGGAGCCAGCCTGTCCAATCCAGGAGCCAGAAGGATTTTTTAGGAGCCAGCTCCATTAACACCAACTAGATTAATCATGTAAATTTTAAGGAGCAATGGCTGTCTGGCACTTGGGATCTCCATAACATAACAGATCTTTACTTTTTGAGTTAGGTCTTGTTCACACTGAATGCGGTGCATTCCAGAGCGGTAGCTGCTGGAACACACCACAATAGCTCACAAAACGTCCCCTGCGTTGTGGGGTGGGAGGGGGCGTGGTGGTGCATTGAATTCAATGGCACTGCTTCCACGCCTAACCCCCCCCCGGGCCCGGGCAGTTCTGTATTCCCCCACTGCAAATGCAAACCCTGGGGGGTGGAAACGGTGCCATTGAATTCAATGCGCTGCCATGCCCCCTCCTGCCCCAGAATGCAGGGGGACGTTTTGTGAGCAATTTGCGGTGCTATCCAGCAGCTATCGCTCTGGAACACACTGCATTCGGTGTGAGCAAGCCCTCATGGTCCACTTTAAAGTGACCTGACCTGACCTGACCTGGCCTAAAAAGTTTTTAAGATAACAACTGCTGAAGTTCAGACAAGTGCCTGTTAGGCTACATTCACACCTACTAAGTAGCTGCGATTTGGTATTCCTGCATCAGGAACTTGCGATTCCCTTTTACAAGTGCCAGCTGTCACCCATTCAAGTTATGATCAGGTGACAGCGGCTGCCTTTTGAAAGCTGCAGAATGGTGGCACAACGCATGTAATAGTATTCGATACAATTACATGCGGTTAGGAATCAATCACTATCCATGGACACATTGATTTCAAGTTCCTGATGCAGGAATACCTAATCGTACCTCCTTGGTAGGTGTGACTGTGGTCTTAGTCTTCAAATCAGTTCCTGTGTCCTCGTGCATCTCTTTGGATCATTGGCCATCAGAGTCTTGACCTTTCTTGAAGCTGAGATCAGGCTTTGCCCCGTCATTCAGTTGTCAAATTCCGGGGCCACTCTGGGCAGTTGTTGCCTGCTATTGTATTTGTTTGATGTGTCGTTATGCAGCCTTTTGTGAAATCAGCTTTTATGATAAAAAGAGCCAGGGCATTCAGTCAACTCTCATAATAGAAGCATTTGGCCTTTGTTAAATTAACATGAGCTGTTATGCAACGCTGGCTGGCATCGGGTGGGGTGGGGGGGATACGGTGGCTTATAATAAATGCATTAAACAGTTAATGTGAGGGCACATAATTCATTCTGAGTGCTAGTGCTCCCCTGAGACTGATTGTATTGGAGAGTTGGAGCCTCTGAAGCAAGTTCAGCACTGATGCATAAGCATTAGGTTAATCAGGGTTATCTGTGTTCAGATTTGCACTAAAGCTAACAACCTTTAATGACAACGTGACATTTTCTGCTCTTCTGCTGCTTACTTTCTCACTATTTCTCCTACAAAAGCTGGCATCTCTGCTACAGCCACTGGCCTAATTAGCACAGTTTAGTAATTTGGAACTGCTGTCAGAGACCATTATGTTAGTTGGAAACCGAGTGGATTAAATGAAATGCAGTGACCTCATCTCCTTTTTTACGAGGCAGTGCATTTCAGTACAACAACTGAAGACAGATCTGCCTTTCATCTACGAACTGCAATTAGCCTGTTCATGAAAAATGTTATTTTGATATTGTAGCACGGTTCGGCATGGCTTCTGCTGCCCTGTGTGCAGCGTGTTGGGTTCACGCTGCATATGTATGTTCAATACAGATGATCTTTGAAATAAGCACCTACGGTATATCATTTCCCCTTTAACAGAGAGACGATGTATATTACTAACACTCTTGCTGTGATGCTTGGTCCAATCATTATCTTTGGCTTCAGCTATTGGCTCAGAGCTATTGACTGCCTGACACCATCTGCAAAGCTGCAATCTCTACTCTCTTCAGATCCATTCAGCACACGACTTGAGTCAGCGAACGGGCTATCTCTGCTTTAAGCAGAATCCGATCTTGTTAACCTAATTTAGAATAAGTGAGGCAGACAGCTCCATGCACTTTCTTTTCCGTTCTTGCACATTAGGTGGCCCAGCTGCGCTGCTTGCGGAGGAAACAAAATAGGAGACATGTTCGGAATATATTTATCACATCAAGTGCTGGATCAAACTTGAAGCCAATTTCAAAATCTGCCGATTTTAAAAGAGAGAAAAAGAAACGAAAAAAGGTCACCTCGCTTCTTCCGAAGCTCTCAATAGAAACTACTTTTTGGATTTCTATATTGCAAGGTGTTTTGTTATACTTGGGCTGCTCGGCTGCATAAACTAAAAATACTGATGGTAGATGCCAAAGGAAAGAACATGAAATGTCTTACTTTTTTCTTAATGCTTCCAGAAACAGTCAAGAACCGGTCTAAAAAGGGTCCGAAAAAAGCGAGTTCCACTAGCAGCAGCAGCAGCAAGTTGCCCCCAGTTTGCTATGAAATAATTACATTAAAAACCCGAAAGAAGAAGAAGATGGCTGCTGAGATTTTCCCGAGTAAGAAGCCAGCAAACAGCAATTCCAACTCCGTGCTGCAATATCACCAGCAAAATCTCAATAACAATAACACTATCCCTTCCCCGAACTGGCAAGGACTTTATGGGACCATCAGAGAAAGGTAAGCCTGTCACTTTTCAGATGTTCTTTTTGTAACGCATGCTGGAAAGTTTGTGTGGTGTGTTTTGGCTGACTTGCTGAAAGAAGCTGTGGTGTGACCGAACTACTTGTGTATAGATCAGTTTATATTTCCTTGGGAAAGAGTCCCTTTTGAAATCATTTAATTTCACAGAAATGCAATTATGTTCAACAACGAGTTGATGGCAGATGTGTACTTTGTGGTCGGGCCAACTGGCGGAACACAACGCTTGCCCGGACATAAGGTACGTACAGTTTTTTTTTTAGGCGTATTATAGCTGCATGTTTGTGTTAGCTTTTGTGCCTGAAGGAACCTGTATTACTTTGAAAAAGTCCTTATTTTTCTGGCAGAACATATATTGGATTATTTATTAAGAGCCATCTCAACCAATGATAGTGTCTTCACTGGGTTGAGTGCAGTAAACTGAAATCTGGTTGCTAAGAGTTACTCCTAATATATTTATCTAACTTAAAGAAAAGCTTTACAGACTTTTGTTTTCTTGTTCAATGCAGTTTTCCTTGTATTGCTGGTTATATAATATTCCCAAGGCATATGATGACGATATATAAAGATGATGATTATTATTATTATAATAATAATAACAAAGCTTATGTCATATGGATTTGTAACTTTCCATTCGTGCTTCCCCTTTGCCAGTATGTTCTAGCTGTCGGCAGTTCCGTATTCCATGCAATGTTTTATGGAGAGCTTGCAGAGGACAAGGAGGAAATCCGTATACCAGATGTTGAACCTGCTGCTTTCCTTGCAATGCTGAAGTAAGCATTATCTCTGCATTATAATAATTTGTCTAGTTACATTAGTGCAAACTGCAGCGTTCAATTACAGAATACAGCCTGCGTGGTTTCCGAGGAGCTTGAAGTAAATGAGTGCTTGCCTAAGCCTGGATATATTAATGGAGTTAAGTAATAAAAACAATGGACTCCGAGCTTATTACATAAAAATATGTATAAAAGTAGTCCAATTATATAAGACCGGTTTGGTTCAATCTGTGTTAGTGTTTTGCAGACGTAAGTGGGGTTTTAAAGGTTTTAAAGTTCCAAATGAGAAGTAGGAAATAATATATTTATATGTGGCGAGCCTGCAGTAATGTTTTTTTGATCACCTCCTGTGGCTTTCTGATGTGTATGATTTATTGGTCAAGTGATAACGAATAGAGATGATTTAATTGATTTACAAACTGGGAGTCATCTCCTTCTGCATGTTTCGGTGATTATTTAAATTCCTGCTTGCAGAACCTGCCTACAAATCCACAAATCATTTAATGCAAATGGATATTTGCATGAATCGCTATTCGACCAATTTGTCACAAACCTAATTTTTCATCCATAGTAATGAGCATTGAGGGGTGCAGCATTGAAAAGCAGACTCAGATATTTACCAGTGTGCTGGTCATCTTCTGTAATTCAGTATTGTTGTAAATCAACAACCGTGATAAAAATTGGTACCATTCCTGGAAGCTGGGGCTGGTCCAAGTGTTTGTCTTGGAGATAGAATCTAACCATTTATGGTTAGGATTGCTTGGTTTTGTTTTTTTTCTGAGATTGCTCCTCCATTTACCCCCACACAGCTGTATGTTTTTCTTATTGGTATTCAGATAGCCCGTGCTCCATTTTATGCCTGTATGTTAAGTGTGGTTTTGGCCATCAGATAAATATTTCTAGCCCACATATCAGTGTAGTGCTGCAAGGGCAGCCCAATACATGTACGGGAAAGTGCAATGAAATGGTGCATGAAACTAGATCCCTGAGCACAGAGCATGCAGAACGGAAGCCAAGGCAGAGCTGCAGTTCAAAGTGTGAGACTTGCTATATAAATCAGTTTTCACTTCAGTTGTGAAACCATGGCAGAAATCCCTACATCGTGGCAGGGAGAAACCATCACTTTCTTTCTGAAAAGCTTTTGATTGGAAGGTCATTACTGTGCATCAAGGATAGAACTTTATAAAGCGGTTGTCTCCTTGGTCCTGCGTGTTCTGGGCAGTGCAGAGAGCAGTGATGACGCCTGCAATACAGTATCCTGGAGCAAGCAATTAGATCTTCCTTTTACTGTAGTTGGAAGAGCGAAAGGTGACATCTAATTGAAAGTGCCAGACCAGTATTCTACCCTAGGGGTACGCTTCATGTGAAATAATTGTCTTAGAATCAAAATGGCAAAATTACGGTAGTTGTGGATGTCAATCTTCAATGCAGTCTAATATTCGTCTTCTTAAGAATTTATATCCAGTATTGCACCTATTTTAATCCAGGTTTTCTGTTGCACTGAGTAATTAGTGTTTTTATTCAGTGTTGTTTCCCCTTTACAAAGTCACAAATATTTTATTTAAAAGGTCAAGCCACCTAAAATTAAGTACTTATTGTTTGGCCAATGTGAGTGGGCTCAATATCTTCAAAGAACTGGCCATACTTACAGATTCTGCCATTAACTCCCCCCCCCCCAATGAGGGTAAAGGTGGCCATACACCTTGCAATCATCGTACGAACATTTTCGTCCAATGATCGAACCATTGTACGATTCAATTAGCGGTCTTTAGCAGAAAACACCTGAACGAATTTTGTTAATTGACTGCACGGATTTTTTCGTTTGAGCATGAGCAGTGTTAATCGTACGATTTTTGACGTACGGAAACACCACCAACCTTGCAAAAATCGTACAATTCGACAGACGTTTTCTAACCTGCTGGAAAGTCAAAAGTCACACGATTGTACAATATTAGCGGTTGTACACTGCCCATCAACCTTACGAATATCGGGCGAAAACGCGATCGCAAACGAAAATCAGCCGATATTCGTAAGGTGTATGGGCAACTTTTGAATATGCTTGATGGCGTCCATCCATGACTTGAACAAACACTATCTTTCCTAAGGCAGTGACGTTTTAAAGGGTTGTATGATGCCCAATCAAATTTCACACTTTCACATTGCCCCATATTTAAGAATTTGTATCACAGCTTTTCCACATCTACAGCAAACTAAGACTAGATATTTATAAGGTTGCAGGACGTAGCTTTTGGATTTATAATTTTGATCTTTGTAAAGCATTCATTACCCACTATAGTTCACCATACCTCCTGAGGTGGGTTTTTTGTGTGTGACTGCTTGTGTATATGTTCCTAAGTGAGTCCATATACTGTTTAGGTGTTTTTTATATCTAACTATAATAATGTACATAAAACTCAGAGTAAGATGAAGTCTTTTGTTACATAGATGTGATATTTTATGCTGGTTTTTGTTTTCTTTTATCTCATAGATACTTGTATTGTGATGAGATAGATTTGGCTGCTGACACCGTCCTGGCAACTCTGTATGCTGCTAAAAAATATATCGTCCCCCATCTTGCCAGAGCATGTGTTAACTTCCTAGAGACCAGTTTAAGCGCTAAGAATGCCTGTGTTCTCCTGTCTCAAAGCTGCTTGTTTGAAGAACCTGATCTGACCCAGAGGTGCTGGGAAGTGATTGATGCACAAGCAGAGCTGGCTTTGAAAAGCGAAGGCTTTTGTGACATTGACTTCCAGACACTTGAAAGTATCCTTAAAAGAGAGACTTTAAATGCCAAAGAAATCGTCGTCTTTGAGGCGGCGCTCTGTTGGGCAGAAGTAGAATGTCAGCGCCAAGATCTGCCTCCATCTATAGAGAACAAGAGGAAGGTTTTGGGCAAAGCTCTCTACTTAATTCGTATCCCAACTATGGCCCTGGATGACTTTGCCAACGGCGCTGCACAGTCCGGGGTGTTGACTCTGAATGAGACTAATGATATCTTTCTCTGGTATACAGCTGCTAAGAAACCAGACCTGGATTTTGTAAGCAATCCCAGAAAGGGGCTCGTCCCTCAGAGATGCCATCGTTTCCAGTCCTGTGCCTACCGCAGCAATCAGTGGCGGTATCGAGGCCGATGTGACAGCATCCAGTTTGCTGTGGATAAAAGAGTGTTCATTGCGGGTTTCGGCCTTTATGGCTCCAGCTGCGGCTCAGCAGAGTACAGCGCGAAGATTGAACTCAAGCGCCAGGGGGTGATCTTGGGACAGAACCTAAGTAAATATTTTTCAGATGGATCCAGCAATACATTCCCTGTTTGGTTTGAATATCCGGTGCAGATTGAACCAGATACTTTTTACACAGCCAGTGTGGTCCTGGATGGCAATGAATTGAGTTATTTTGGACAGGAAGGAATGACTGAGGTGCAGTGCGGAAAAGTAACTGTGCAGTTTCAGTGTTCCTCGGACAGCACAAACGGCACTGGGGTGCAAGGAGGACAGATACCCGAACTTATTTTCTATGCCTGACCGCATCCATTTCTAGAATCTGACGGACAAAGAGTGCAATTCCCAGTACGGGAACATACAGAATGTGATTTTTATGTATGTCGGTGAAAATGCTGTCTGCACCTAGGTTACCTTAGCTGTTTGGCATAGATTACTGCTGTATAGGGCGACTGTAAATAATGGCACTTTCTAAAATCGTTTCTAAAAATGTCATTAACCTAAAGCCTGCTTAATACAAAAGAAAAGATATTTTGCTAAATACATCATAAATTAAGCTTGTAAGTACTTAGAGTTTATATCAGATGTATCTTTTTATCTTAAATTCTTTAAGAATCCACTAAACAAAGATTTTGGGGCGTTATTTAGTAATGCAGTGTAGATAGATTAATAGAGAGATGTAGATAAATATATGGCAGTAATTCACAGCAGCCACCCAGATTTCACTTAAAAGTATACATTTCGCATAAGCATATTCTATTCATATGGAAGGGGGCACCACCAGGTGTCAGTGTGAACTTCTTAGGCTTGCCTGCTGCATCGCACAGTGCAGTTATTAAACAATTTAACCATTATTAAATTGTTTGGTGGAGGCATGTTTAAGCATTGGCCTTCTGTAAACCAGTAAGTTGGAGGGTGAAGTTCAGGACTCCCATGGTGCAGGGTAGAGGACTATTAAAGATGAACTTTCAGATTCTAACTAACTACTACATATCTTGGAGCTGGTTTAGCTGCCATTTTTGTTTTTTTTATTTCTGTCCATTCAACTCTTTGCACAGCCCTGTCTGACAGGGCGGAAGACCCGATTTCTGTCTTATGGCAGTAAAGTAACACGCGTGGGTCCCTCCCCCATCTTGGGACTGCAGGGTGAAAAGAGAAGCAGCAGACTGATGGCATAATTTTTTGTCATTCTGCTCTCTTCTCTATTAGCACATGAGTACTGTGGCGCAACTGTTTGCCTCCTTGTGCTGCTTCTCCTTCTTGTCTGAGCTTTGGTGTACAGGGATTGCAAGAGCCAGGTAACGGGTCAGTTTAGGGTACCATCACTCCTGTCAAAAAAAAAAGCACATAATGGTGGCAGCTTACTTTAACAATGATGTGACGTGTACATAAATGCAGTACAAGATGAGTTCTGGTTGCTGTGGATCACTGAACTTTGGGCATTGTTCTTTGATTTACCAAAATAGTCTTATTGGCTTACCTAAAAACACTAACAGCTTTAACATGTATGTGTACTAGTTCCCATGCAGGAATGAAGAGATTTTTTTTTTACACTGACTTACCTTGTGCAATTCAACCCAGTGTCTATTTGTTAGACTAAAGAGTCTTAAGAAAGTGACTGAAGTGTCTTTTGATAGGACTACTAACAGGAAGTCAGCTGTGTGCCCCTAAATCCCTTTCCCCAATGTCACAACCGAGTAAATATTGCCAGCTTACCAAGCTGCGGATAGATTTAGAAATGCCTCTAAATGTCATTCCCGACTTGTTTTCTGAGCCAGCTTGGATTTACAGTATTTGCCGGGGTATAAGACGAATTTTTAGACTTAAAAACATCCCCCGGAAATCAGGGGTCGTCTTATACGCCGGGTATACAGTCCGCTCATTAACCCCGAGCCACACTCAGGAATACCGCCAAGGAGGTTAGTAGGTGTATTTAAACATTATTTTGGAATGTACTCGTCATATACGATTAGTTTAGCCCAAAACCTATGTTGTAACAGTAAAATTAGGGGGTCGCCTTATACGCCGCAAATACAGTAGGTTTATTGGTCCTTCCAACAGAAAATACCAAGCAGATAAAACTATGAATAGCCTGCATTACAACACTTTTTTCTTCATATTTTCAATAGGTGCGGAATTGTTGCATACTATTTTTGGCACATCAGTTGTTTCCCATAATGTTGTAGAGGAATGCAAATCATTAAATTTGTTGGGATTTTAGTTTCCATTTTCATCCATAAGCATGCAGCTCTGATGTTAAAATGTAGTTTGACTTGAAATTGAGACTGACAGGAATAATAATCTGTTATAGGTCACGCGTTACAGGTTATATATAACACTAACTACATACTAAAGGGAAGGTTAGCTATGAGAATAAATAAATGTGAACTTTGTATGGGTGTAGTTCTCCTAATTCATCAATCCCAGCACTCCACTGACATGCATGTGTACACCCAGAGCACAGCCAGTCTGAGTCAGCTGGAGGATGTACAGCGAAAGGGCATACATAATCACTTACCAAGAGCTGTTACAGTGGGTCATGTAATCTCTCTGAATTCATTATGTATATGGCCTCTTATCTCCCAGACAGATCTGTTCATATGTGGAGATTCTTTGGCAGCATTGTAGGATTTTATATGAATCTATTGTTGCTTGTTTTAACCCTTTTGCTGCTAAGGTCTTAAACCCCCGCACACATGATATAATCCACATTATAGGCCTGAAAACTACTTCAAACTCCCAAAATATTATGTTTTTTTTCTGAAAGCCAACACCCTGTAGAATAAAATGGTGGCAGTTGCAAATTTTTATGTTGCACGATATTGGCGCAACTCTTTATCAAACCCAGAAATTTAGTGACAAATGGACTTAAGTTGATTTTAGTGCCCCAAAACACAAATACCAATTTTTTTTGTAAAATATAAAAGTTGAGGGTACAACGAGTACATAGATACCCAACATGCCCAGGTTAAAAATTGTGTGCATCCGTGAAACGGCAAAAAATAATTCAGTACCCCAAAAAGTCCATAGATGTTTTAAAAGCCCCTACAGGTCATCAGTTTAGAGATATGTGTAGATATTGGCCCTGGAGTTATTGCTCTCACCAACGTGTAGCACAAACAACGTTTTATTAGGAAGGCACACCCAACGCGTGTATTCTTTATTATTTTTACATTTATTTTATTCTATATTATCTTTTTTTTTTAACTTTAATTGCTATCATATAGGGGGCTTGCAAGCCCCCCATGTGATAGCATATTGGCAGTGTCGGGTCCTTTTTAAGGTAATACTGGGGGGTCCAAAAGACCCCTAGTATCACTTTTCAACTTTAAATAAGCTATTGAAGTGCAGATCGCACTTCAATAGCTTATTGCTTGGCTTCAGGAGCCAAGCAATGACAGCTCAGGGACTGGAAGTGATGCAACTCTCCTCCCCAGCTTACCCCCCTGGCCCGCAGGAGGGGCAGTGGAGCGCCGGAAACACGGCTGGGATGTCGGGCGGGCACTTTACCGACCCATAAAAGCGATTTGGCGGCAGCTGTGCTGCCAGAATCACTTCTATTATAAAGCCAACTTTACAAAGGTAAACAGTCACGGCGGCTCTGTTTACAGGGCCATGCTGTCAATGATGTACTATGTACGTCTGTGGACGTGAAGGGGTTAAAGCATGTCAAGGGAAAATAAAATTTTAAAAAATACACATACTGTACATCTTTGCAATATATGCCTATTTCCTCTGGCTTTATCCTTTTTAAAGAACCTGCAATTATGGGAAAATACATGCTTATCTGCTACAAATGCACTCGGCTCTTAATTAATTTACTCCTGTGGCTGACCAGAAGGTGGCTTTTCTGAACTCAAATTGCAAGAAATGGAGCCAGCCTTGCCCAATTCTCTTGGTAAACTGCAGAACCCCTCACTGTCTTCTCATCTCTAACACATAGAGAGTAATTGTTTTGTAGTTGAAGATGAGAACTGAGTTACTGATAACACAGGGGAAATAGGGTAACAAAAAATTGGGGGGGGGGGGGTTTGCACTTAACGATCAGATATAACAAAATGCTTTCAATGGTATATTTAACAGACCATAAGGGCACAAATAAGAAAAGTTAGTTAGGGTTCACATGGGCTTTTAAGGTTGGTAGCTTGGCACAGGTTGTAGCCCTGGAAAAGGAATGAGGGGAGGACAAATTTAAAGAGTCCTCAAGCCCCATCTAGGAGTTGGAAGACAATTCTACAAGGGCAAATAAACATCAATTTACAGCAGTAGAAGTCGCTCAAAGGTGCCAGCAATAAAACTTTTTTGCAAGTTGTCCACTTGATATCCTGGACTTGTCTACCCATTTACTAACTTGCACTGTAAATTATTATAGGACTTGAGAATTGGAGGGAACATAAAAATGATACCCCTGTATCTCAGCTTCAGTGATGGACTATGTTGCCTTTTCAACCTGAACTCTCCCAGTAACAATGGGTTCAGAATAAAATTGGATAAATGGATGCCCTATGAAAAAATGGTGAATAATAATAATAAAGCCTCAATGTGAGATAACACTATTACTTAACATGCTGCTATACTGTATAGTTACTGATTTTATTTCCTTTTCTAAACACTGTATATTAGAGATGTTCAGATACCAGTGCTGATACTTTTACGAGAACTACCAGGGTTGCAGCTGGGACCTGGCTCTGGTGCACCACCACTGTTATGATATCATTAGTCTGTATTGTTTTAGAAAAACTGTCACATGACAAAACAAAAATGTATCTGCGAGTACTTGGACAAGTATCAGTACTTGTACTTGAAAAAATGGCATTGGTGCATCCCTAATATATATTTACAAAATAAAATAAAAATCGTACATTAAAACAGAGACGCAGAAATTCAAGAAGCCCCGTATGCTCCTTAAAAATTACAGCTGTCTCCTAACTTTTGAATTTTTCTCTCATCTAGTCTTGGAGCTGGAAAAGTATCTGTACTTGTACCAAGTACGGTACTTGGTATCTGAACATCCTTACTGCATATAATTTTTTTTCTTTGGTGTTGGTCCCTGGTCTACAGACCTGCAATTTTCTTTAAATCTCGTTCACATGCGACTTGTTGTCGACAACTTTACCAGTATGATTGAACTTACCATCTCCACAACACTTGTTGGTCACTTCTAACCTTGGCTGATCATCTATTTTTCTTTACTAGCACGTAGACTAAATTAGACCACCGAAAATATTTTAGGTTTCAGTAGAACCGAATTGCAGGCAGATGGCTTAACGCATTGCTCAAATACATATCCATAAAATATTTTACCAGCAGTTCTGTTCAGCCACCCTTGTGATCCAGACAGCACAGCCAGGGAAGTAATGTCCTCTTTCCTTATTGCAGTTCAGCATTACAGCTTGAATAATGACCCACCCCAGCCAGCCTGTTCATTGGACAGTAAAGGAGAAAGAGCACACAGATTAGGTAATCTCTTCTTAGTGTGAAGCAGACCATACACTGCGAATATCGTTCAATTTATTTCGTGTCGTCATCGATTTCTCGTTCGATTTCCGCTCAAATACCCCATCATGAACAGACCAATGTCATTTCGTTTTTAGTAATCCTAACTCGCCAACTTTCGTCGATCGACAGAACGGATTTTCGTTTGCGCGTGTGCAGTGTTCGTT